ATTCCCCATGATCCTGTGGACCCATCATTAATCCTCACAAAACATTTTATTGTTCTGTATTCTGGAGTCTTCTGCCACATTTTAAAATGATTTGAATCTCTATTTCAAAAACTCTCTTTCCCATGACAGTCATTATGTCAATATTTTAAGTAGTTCTATGCAGAGAGAAAGAAAGAAAAATCACTGCTTACTGCTAATTAAAGGTTAATAAACTTCTCTGTTACATAACAGCTTTTTTAGGTATTGTTTATGCAACACAAGATCTAAGTGTTTTAAAAGAGCTCTGTAGGATTATTAAATAGATTTTATTTCAGACTCATAGTCCAGCCATTAAAATCATCAAAAGTGAAAAAAAAAAAAAAATCATTAAAAACAATCTTTTAGGAGGCAATACATAGATGTGTATCTTACTGCATTATAGTTAATGTTAGTCAACGGTAAAATTATTCTAATATGTGACTCATTTAGCCAGTGTTCTGTCAGGTGAGCATATCTGGTCAGACCAGCATACCCATTGTCAAAACCCGTTTATCCCTTTAATTCATCACTGTTTATCCCTCTATTTTAAACCTTTAGTTTTGCACGAAAAATAGACTTTAAACTACCTCGACGGGCATGTATTCCTTTGGTCATGTGCAAAAAACAATTTAATTACATAATTTTTGGTGTTTTTTGAAACGTATGGCGATCTGACCTTAAATTGTTTTTTTGGGACATGATTAAAGGGATACACTCCCATTGACGTAGTTTCATACAAAACGAAAGGGATAAATGCAAATCTGATGTCTTGTGCATGCGTATTGACTATGGGTATGCTGGTCTGACAGGATTTGCTGATCTGACAGAACACTGACAGTAAGCTTCCTTAAAACAGCCAGAAAAGAGTTGACATTCACAAACAGTCCACTGGCACTTGTCCAGTTGGGCTTCTTATACGAAAATCTTAAAAAAGAAAAACCAAGTTTTCTAACGATACTGCCACCTGTGGCCAAAACGCAGAACTGCAGCACTCTTCTGCTTGTCCTTGTAGCACGCGCTCGTATTTAACAAGGTTTTTTTTTTTTTTTTTTCCCCTTTCTTGGAGTTTAGCCATTGTTGTCTGAGTTGAGACACCAATGGCTAAACTCCGACACCAACTTGAATATAACGCTTCAATTGTTTGCTATGTTGGATCCATTTCACATGAAACTCTTTTAGATATACTTTTTATAAAATGTCTCTTTAATGAATCATTATAAGCCACCATCAATCTTTGAAGGCTTGTTTTTTTTACAGTACTACCATCAGTGAAGTACAATATTATCTAAACAAGTTCAGGTTAACTTCAGAGCAATAACCAAATTTCCTAAACTAGAACATTAGTTTCACTAAATAACATTCAAACCTGACGTTAAACGTCCTCATCATTTGATAGACAGTATTTCAGCACCTGACCAAGATATTTTACTTCATTTGAGATGTTTAGTAAGATTCCAGAAAGCTCAAAATTAGGAAAAGATGTAAATTTCCCTTCTTTAATGTGACATATCAGAATTACATTATATGGTTTATTTATTGTATAAGATTTTTGTAAGAGAAGGTTTTCATTAATTGCTTATTTTTTTAATTTCACTGAGTCAAATGGCATCGCTTTGTGGCTTCACCCTAAAAAAACAGTGTTGCATCAAATTGTATTCTGCTAGAACAAAACATTGAATCTGACTTTATCGTATTTGAGAGGTGAAACCAGTCGCATAACATTGATAACTACTCATGTATCTTTAGTTTAAATCTTCATATTTGAGAGAAATTGTAGATTTTCTGTGAAACTTTCATATTTGCAAACCATATTAAACATGACAATTTTAATCAGTTGCACAGGTTGTGAATGATACATTTCTTTTTCATTTCTCTACTGTCACTTCAAAACCTTTCTACAATAGCTTTAAATGAGTCATGGTCAGGTATTTCACAAATCTAATCCTTCTGAAATTGTATTTAAATTCATGCTTAATCCTTTTAAGAAAAATATATTAATTGAGCTTATACCAAATCCCTTTTCCTACTCCTTTTTTTCTACTGATGGCACAAATGAGAATTTAACTTGTGTGAATGAATGTTTATGTTGACGTACGTTAAGCAACATTAGCAGATTTGCCATGGCTCGTTTACGTTTATTTAAGCATTTAGTTAAAACCTAATGTGTGTGACATTGCATATAGGTGAGTCCCTGATTGTTGGAATCATACTTTTTGGTTGAATGCTGATGGGAGTCTGTGTCACTACCCGGTCTGTGCCGGTAGCACAATCAGCTTACAGTATTTGCACATGCACAGCCAAAATACATCTGAGCCACCAGGATCTACCTTAATAAAAAAGGACTGAAATTATTCAATTCATTTTATTTATATAGCGCCAATTCACAACACATGTAATCTCAAGGCACTTTTATGGTTCACCAGAACATACATATGATTAAAAATTGTATCACTGATTACAAAAAGTGCATTAAACTATGTTGTGCAAAAGGTTAGCAGCAACTTTGCTGAGAGAATAAATGCACTTCCATCCAGTCTGGTTGACCCCTTCCCTACTTTCAGCACTAAACTGTTTGGCTTTTTATTAATAAATAAATGTTGCAATTTTGTTTTGATTGTATTCCATCCTGCCTGTATAGTATATTGTGCATAATCATAAATAAAAAAAAAAAAATACAGGCAAACATGCTGATGAAGATTCTCAGTCAACCAGGTCATAGTTTAACTTTTTTGGAACAGCCCCTGTTGCCTCTGAAACCGTCAAATCTGTCTCTGTGCACGACCACGTCCCCCACGCAGAGGTTCTGCAACCTCAAAAAAATCCTGACTACATGTCAGACGGTCGGAAATCTGCGCAGACCTCAAGCGGAAGTGCGCAGACAAAAAGCAGCTGTGATGTTCCTTGGTATGCCTTTCCGGCTTCCTGTATGGTCATCCTTTTCTTTTCGGTGCAGGGGAGCGCCATTTTTAAAAACCGAGGAGTAATAACAACAATGGATAACCACGACGACAGGTTGATCAAGGAGGTTCTGAAGTACAACCACTTGTACAATGCCTCAGACATGTTGTTTTGGAAAATAAACATTCTCGCCGGCACTGCCGAAGAGGTTCTCGTGACCATCCACCGAACTTGTCGCAAGTCCTCGAATAGGCTCCCCTTTCGCTTTGGCGGGAAACTGCTGTGCATCCCTAGAAAAACTGGTTTCCGACCAGACGCAAGTGACATTTGATGTGTGTGGTTGCAGAAATATAATCAGCCCTTAACAGTTAAAGACTAAAAGTTAAAGCTAAAAGCTAGCTAAAATAGTTAGAAGCAATCAGAAAAATATGGCTTTGTCACTGAAAGCTCTTACAGCAGTCATTTGTTTAAAGTATAATGATATAAACAGTTCTTTGGGGATATACTAAAGGGCACAATTAAAACATTGCTCAGTCGCAGCTGCAGTCTTGACTGTTACAGGTATAGGAAAACATTGTCGCACTATGGGCAACAATCACGGCTTCTGCGCAGTGATTAGTCTAGACTGGATAGTACTGAGCCTTACCAGACTGACTAACACCTAGTGAAAGTAATGTGTCGCTACTGAAGGAGGACCAAAACTGTGTTTTGAGGAGAGCATACCCAAGTTCGGTCCACTAGGGCCGATGTCCTGCAGCTTTTAGAGGTTTGCCTGCCTCAGCACAGCTGATTCTGATGATTGCAGTTCCGCTAACAATGGAAATGAGCTGTACTGAAGCAGGGAAACATCTTAAACATGCAGAATAATGGCCCTTTAGGATTGATTTTGGGAATACCTGATCTAATTGGACCAACAAAATCTTAAGAAATAACCACGCCACTCTTACACTTCGGATTTTCCTATAAGTCAGAGGTCATTAGCTGGGTCCGGATCCAACCTTATTTAAAACATTTATAAAATTACCACATGTTGTCCAATGACATAGTCTAACTTCACTTGCGCCGATTTTTCTGTTTGTATGGTAAAGCCCTCCGGAGCGTCCGTCACCAGGCTACATGTGATACAAATTAGCCAATGAGCTGCTGTCAGTCTGGGTTGCTGCTGCTGCTACTTTTAGACACAGCAGGCAAACCTTTGGCAAGCCGGGCGATGGGAAAGAAGGAGAAGACAAGGAGAAAAAGTGAAAGAAAGTGTGGACTGCTGGAAGAACTGTGGTGAACTGGTGACAGAAAAGTGAAATGGTGCTCAAAGCTGAAGGATTTTCCACCATGAACATAATAAAAAATAAATATGGATCCAGGCTTACAAATGAGCACCTTTATATGTGCTTGAGAATGGCTTTGTCTCCATTCAAACCCAGGTTTAACGCCTCGCAGGGCAGCATAAAGCCCACTGCTCTCATTAAGCCATAAAAAAGAAAAAAACAACAACAAACAAAACAAACAAACAAAACAAAACGGTCAGTTCAGGTGTTTTATAAAATATGTGAATCAGGAAATTGTACCAAACTGAACGATTGTTGTTTTCTACATCAAAAAATACTTTGGATTTTAAAATGGAAAAATTTTCAATTTTCTTTTCTATTTTCTCTTTATTTAAAAAGTCAATGTATAACATGGATGCATAAACACTTCATTTTATTTAAGTGTTAAATTATGTTAAAAGTAACAGTTTGATGATTAAAAATGTCTTCGGACCTTTACTGGCTGAAGATTTTCTTTATTTGGACCCCACTGATTTTTAATTGGTTGCCCCTAGAATAGGTTTTAGCTGAAGCCAAACGTCAGCACACGTTTTTAACATGAAAATGTCAATTTGCGGTTGATGACTTTTAATATATTTTTCAGAAGTAAAAAAACAAAAAAAAACATACATTTTCTGTAAGAAAACAAGTATGTTTTCTTACAGAAAATGTCATAATACCCAATTACTAAAACAAAAAAAGATAAAAAAAAAAAAAATGATAGAAATAGACTATTTGATGGTTAATCTCAACTTTGTTGCAAACATGAGAATATCTTACCTGAGAGAACAGTGAATATGGCAGCAAAGGCATTGAGCTTCAGTCCGTCAATGACATTCCCAATGTGACACACTTCTAAAGACATGAGGATACCTCCGGTGGCCAGCAGCAGAATGTACAGGCACTCTGCCACGATGCACAACCACAGAACACCTACAGAGACAGGAAGTTAATATAAAAAAACAATAATAAAGAGAAAGAGCAAGCCCACATCCATACTGTGGGGATTAGCTGCTCAGGGTTAAGTGGATGATGGAAGGGTGATAAGCGAGAAAGCAGGAGTTAGAAAAAAAAATCCCTAAACAAAGGTGAAGGTAGGGGACAGGGGAGGATACAAAGATGGATGGGGAGAAACAATGAGAGGGAAAAGGTGAATCAGTGACCTCCTTCACCCATATCATTAACCTTCACGGAGAGAAGGAAGACATACAGAGTCATATATAAGGAGAAAAAACCCATCCTGAGCTCATGTCTAGATAGAAATAAGGAGATATTAGCAGGTAAAAATAAAATAAACTGCTTTTGAAATACAATCATAGGCCTGTTATTATAAAATCCCTTAGAGACATTTAAACAGTGAAATGAGTTTAATTCTTTTCTAAAATAAACACTTTAAAAGGGGCCATATGAAAAAAGCTTGAATGTGGTTCTTACAGTATTTTTCCTCTCATTTTATGACAAAATATTTTTGTTACTATAAACACCATAAACATCATGCACCATGCTTTTGAAATGGAATCACGCCTTAGGCTCAATACAAGTGCTTTACAACTGATTAGTCTGTTATCCACACTGTAGTTTCAAATGCCAGAGAGCTCAGCTTTTGTATTCTTTGGAGGGATGTAATCTTTTAGTTGCTTAGTTACATGTTTTTAAGTTGTTTGGTAATTTTGTGAATATGTTTTGCAGAAAACTCCAGGTGGTATTTGTTCTAATTATTTCTTTGGTGAGGGGAAGTAATGAAGGTAGATGTAGCCTGCAGCGACATTGTCCCAGCAAACCTGTTATTAATATTTTAGACAATGAAGTTTAGTATGCTTTGATAATTTAGGGATAGAAATAAGTTGTTCTTGGTATATATTTATATTATCTAATGGTCACCTAGATAAATTTCTGTTTGAACATGGTCAAATGTTCTGGTACAGATAGTCATTGAAAGTGGTGATAGCTAGGCAGGCTAATGTTAACACCCTTCCAGTATTAACATCACTGAGCTTGGCAAGCTAGACTGGATTACTCAGTATACATGACATATCAGTCTGAAAAGGAGCAGGTAAAACAAATTTCCAAAGGCGGGACTACGGTAACAGTTAAAGTCGTAGGGAGGCGGCTGTTCCAACCGTTGCACTGGCGAATTCCCCCGTGTGGTGCACGACTTTACATGTGTGAATAAAGTGAATTTGATTGGTCGTTTATCAAGAGGGCGGGATGTTGTGGTGGAAGGTTTTCAAGCACATTTGATTGCGGCCGGTTTGTCAGAACCATCTTGCTAACCAGTTAGCAACTTAGTGCTAGTAGGTTCCTAATGGGAAATTACATTGGGACCAAGTAGCACTAAATTTGTGACTAAGGCTACGTTCACACTACAGCCTGAAGTGACCCAAATCCGATAATTTGTCCCATATGCGACCTGTATCTGATGTTTTCATGGCTGTCTGAACATCACAGATCCGATTTTTTCCAGTGCGACCCAGGCCGCTTGGCTATGTGGTTCTGAATCCGATACGAATCTGATCTTTTCAAATGCGTTGCTTCAATTGCGTTGTATGACTGCAGTTCACACAGGAGATCAAATACAAGTCGCATATATTTGAAAATGTGAACGGCAACCCAAAAAATCGGATTTCACAAAAAAAATCGGAATTGAGCAACAAGGCCTGCAGTGTGAATGTAGCCTTAGAAACGACACTGTCAAGGAACGCTATGGACAGCGGAAACATGCAAGAGGAGGAGAGGCTTGTGTTGGAGGTCGTGGATGAGTCTCCTCAGTCATATATTTTTTACTTAGAGGAGGAACGTGGGAACGAAGTTGTTGTGGAAGAGGACACCAGGGCCGTACATGTTTGAGCCCTTGCCTTGCAGTGCTGCCAGTTCTGTTAGCTCTACGCCTGCTGAAGACACAGACGTCCATCCCCGTGAACACTTGGACGGAACTCAATGCTAAAGTTAAGCATTCTTATTTCAACCGTTGCGTAAATTAGCTGCGACATATGAATCAAGATGCTATGACCAAAAAAAAATTTGATTGACAGATGACCGCTGATATATGATCGGCCGAATTTAGGTGTACAGGCAGACGTATAAGTAACTGGCCTGGCTAAGATAACGAAAAAAATCAGCACATATTTTAAGACAGGATTTTTTTTTAAATAGAAATTTTGGGACAATATGAAAAGTCTGATAAAGAGTAAATTTATATACATGGTTAAGCCAGTGAGATTTGATATTTAAATATGATTTCCCTACAACTTTTTTTAATTCGTAAATACAAAGAAAGACATATAATCAGAATTAAAATAGGAAAGGGGGACAGTGATGCTTTCATTCATTTTTACAGATTTATTAATATTTAAACAACAAAAATCAAGTGTAAAATCCAGGAATGACCCTGTCATATGTCTTAAGATTGATAAAATGAATCAATTGATAATGTTTATTAGTGCCATCTGGTCATTCAGCGTTCTCTGTCTCCTTCCCTCTCCATTTTCTATTTGTAGCTGACTTCTACCTGCTCTCTGTTTTACTCTAAGTAGATTCTTCCTTTCCATTCAATCTTCTTTCTATCAGTTTTCTAATTTTCTTCCTCTTCTATCAATCTTACACTAATATTTGTTGTTTGGAGAGTGGGGCCAGCATCAGGAAGCAGGTGTAGTTTTTTTGGTGGTTCAGTTCAGTAGTGAACATCATGAATTTGGTTCAATTCCTGGTTCAACAACCATGGTTTATTATGCTTCTCTAGAACAGATTAAGTTTGAGCCATTTCTGAATCACTCAAAGCTCAAGAATAATAACATGAAAACGATAGTGGTGCCAGAATGAAGTCCTTCTCACATTGTTTCACAGAAGCACCTTAGTTCATCAGAACATCTTTGTGAGAGATTTCAAAGCATATTTGTTCCTTGTATATTTAAAACACAAACTAATTAGTCTGTGGCTTGTTCATGGTAGATGCAAAACACTTCAAAACTGATTATAATTGTGTTTTTCAATCAAATCTTTTATAATAGGCGTAGGCAGGATTATACTCCCCAAGGTGTTACATGTTGTGTTTGAAAAATATGTACTTACATCACTGGGATAATTTTTTATCCCAGTGAATCATGCACACAAACACATTTAAACCTGGACATTGACGAAACCGCTATCAACTGGACCCAATCGTTTTTACTTTGATAAATGATCTTTACATTCAAAAAACAACTTGTTAATTCTTGTGAACGCTCTAATCTTATAGAAGTAATGTTTTTTTTATCATTTGAATATTGGATGAGTTGCTTCAAGCTGCAAGTAAGCCTACATAACCTAAAGCTAGAAAAGAGAGACTGCTCTGCTTTTACTTTTGCCCATCTTGTAAATCCAACATGAAGTGGCCCATTGGTGGCAATATAAGCTGACGTCCAGACTACAGAAAAATAGATGTGTTTCACAATCTATATGCTAAGGGTGTAGTGAAGGTATGAGTTAAAATTTCAAAAACAACAATGAGTAGGGTTACCACCTTTCATGAATAAAAGTAAGGGATGGCCATTGACCGATCCTCCCAACTGATATTGAGGTGGTGCTCCTAGTAGAGTGTTTTTTTAAGCTGCTTCTTTTAGAAAGCAAATTGTCCAAGTACACCTTAAAATCCTTTGTAAGTGATGTGCAATTTAATTCAGTTTATTAATATATAATCACAACGCATGTCAACTCAAGACACTTTACAGTTCACCAGATCAAACAGTCAAATTGGTTCAAAGTTTTCTATCAAAGGAAAACCAGTTGATTGCATCGACTCACTGACTCGAATGCAATCCCTCACACTAAGCATGCTTGTAGCGACAGTGGAGAGGAACAACTCCCTTTTAACAGGAAGAATCCTCTAGCAGAACCAGACTCAGTGTGAGCAGCCATCTGCAGAGGCCGACTGGAGTTCAAGGAGACAGAAGCAGACATATAAGGTAATATGCAAACAAAGAATAAATTATAATAAAGTGCCCTAGGCACACAACTTCTTTATTGCAATGAACTACTTAATAATACATGTCTACTGTATAATCTAAAAAATGGCACCAGCACAAAAAGGTGGTCAGTTTGTGTGAACAGTGTCATTAATAACCATTTCAATATATACTAAATATTAAATATTATCTGCACTAAATTCTCTTAAAAGCATGAAAGAGGATTCTGTAGTGGAAGATATGTCCAACAGTTGTTTGTGTATTTTTGAAATATATGCATGCATACAATTCCTTCACGATAGTTCTCTACGCTGGAAATGCCTCCGCTGGTGTTATGCTGAGAAATACCTGCCCGCTGAAAATGACCTCCCCTCTTGCACACTAATGAGAAAATGGATCGAAATATTCTTAATGTTTTCATATTTCTTAAGAATGGATGCCCTATTATTGAGAGTTTAGTGGACAGATAAATGCCAAGAAATACTTGCTTGCCATAATACCGGTGCTCCGTTTTGTGCATTTACAGCAGTATGCTTGAAAATAACACCAGATAAACTTTTACCAATATACACATGTTATACATCCTTAGAAAGCTAGATTCTGTGACGATCTCGGCACTGGTGCTGGCTTAATCCCCAACTCGACACACCTGCTCACTCCACCCTGCCTTCTATTATCACTAATTGGTTACACCTCTATATATACCTCATTTGGATCTGTTCCCAGTGCCAGATCGTCTCAAACCAACCGTTGAGTACCTTCCAGCATTTCAATCTTTTGCCTGCCTACTTGTTGCCTGACCTGTTTTCTGCCTTTTTTCACAGAGCCTGCCTGATCCCTTATCTGATCATGTCTGCCTGCCCTGAATCCAAACTAGGTTTGCCTCTGGACCCCTGCATCAGTTTTGCCTTGGATTGCTTGCCAGTGAGCCCCACTGGCAGGCCCACTCAGTCAGTGAGTAACCGAGTCTGCCTAACCCCTTCTGCTTCTCTG